TAAGTTCTTCAACATGAAGAGTAAAACCTTCGTGTCCTCTGCACCATGTCTTCCCCAAACAACTCCAGATCTTTTAAATTTTACCAGATACTGCAATTATAAATACTTTATTGTAAAAGCCTTGCATTGGAGAGGGAGTAGTTTAATGGCCTTAAATTCATATCTAGTCCTTTTATTGACATTAGTCATTCATCTGCATCAAAGTATACTTGCTTTTAGAAAATGTGTGTGGAAAGGAGAGAATGAGAAGTTAGGATAAGAGGTAGAATATCATTTTGCCAAATGTTAACTAACTTTGTGAAAGGTTTCAAAGTACCATGAAGTACTGCTTTCTGATCTGGAGATCCTCATCTCCTTGGACCCCAGTATACCCTGCCCCCAGCACACCCCACCCCCACGTTGGCTCCACTTCCTACCTTGTTCCTTTTTACTTTCACTTGTGTTTGTGTCTTGCTCAAGCTTGTGGATTGGGGAAGGCAGAACGGTCAAGGTTGTGATAGAGATGAAATAGGAGTTGTGTGATTTTGTTCAAATGTATCATCTATCTGCTTTTAAGCTTTTCAATGAACTGAAATAAACATAAGATGAGGCTGTTTTCTGATGTTTTGCAAAAGTAATACACCCCAACTGAACAGATCAAGACAACTCTACCTTGGAAACCATTGACCTTATGCCTGTCTGGCCATTGCTTTTTACTTGCCCCAAGAATACTGACCTCACTGAAAATTAGCAATGTAGAATAATGTTGTTACTTGTGAAAGACCCCCGGAGGCTCAGGCCCCCAGGATCTAGGTCCAGGACTGTGATGACCCCAATTACCAGGTGGAGGCGAAAGCTTGATGCAAACAGCAAGAGGCTTTATTGCAGTTGTTTAAGGAGCTAACCCCATTTTAGCTCGGGCCTTTCATCCATCCACAATGGTGGATGGCTAGGGAAGACTCTTCGAAGCCACAGCATAGAGATCTTATAGGGCAGCATAAGGGGAGTGTCTAGGGGTGCGCACAGGCTCGGGATTGATGTGCCTCCAGGCTTGGAGGGCTTGCCCTGTGTTGATTGGTCAACTGGTTGTTATGGCCCATAGGCCCTCCCAGGGCGGTTGCTATGCTCTGCTCATCATTGCTGTGCACTTGTCCGTAAAGGACACCCAGAGCTGTAAAGCATAGTACCACCAGCTAACTTCTGATTGGTTCCTTGCCACCAGGCAGGCATCTGACCTCCTAGTGACCAAGGTCAGGCAAGCGCCTGTTAGCCTGTTATGGCTGCCGAAATGGAGAGCTGGTCCCTTCACTTGTTGACCTTACAACCTTGTCTTCCAGTATATCCTCTTTTGTTATGTCTGGCTTCCTGCCCTCAATACTGTACTATAAAATTGAACCACATTTTATATTAGGGTGCATCTCACTCATTTCAAGTGTTTAAATAGATCAAGATCTGTTTTTCTATTCTATTCATGGATAATTGAGTGATTTACAGTCAAGTCTCACAAATATCATTGCCATAGACATGATGGCATGGCTGAGGTATATATACTCCTGCCAGAACAGGCCCAAAGAGGCGCATAGGAAAAGGAGATGATTATGGAATTTCTGGAACAAGGCTGTTACTGCTCGTAGGAGGCAAAATTCACTGTGCCTATGCAAGCAGCCACTCCCCTCCCTCTCTTTGCCCTACCTGTCTGCATATCTGAGCAGCCATGGTTCTCACTATTCAAGAGAACAATTTGCAAGACCATGGAGAAGCCATTCACAAGAACTTTGCCATTGTTCTTTGTAGTTGTGTAGCTCGGTAACTACTTCCTGTTGAGCTTTAATTTGTTTCCAACCATATTCTATTTCACTCTCTGGGGGGTGCTATGAAAGGAAATTTAAAAGTGGAATCTCTTGGGAATATTAATATCCCTAATGCAAATTAGAATTTCACAAGATCCATTTTAAAAACATGGAAGTTTTTCTAAAAACAATATTACTAGCCTAATGTACTGATCACTGTATCCTCGGGCATATTTACATATAATCTGACATATTCCCATCATGCCACTGGTAGGTAAAAACGTGTCAGTCTACACACGGTCCAAACATTCATTAGCTTGTCAATGGCAAACATGGTAACTAGTTAAATCCCATAGAAGTCTAACTTTATGCCATTCTGAAAATAGAGAATACCTACACACTACACCAGAAAAAGTTAAGCTGCCCAATTAACAAATAGATACCATCTACCTCTCTGTTTGCCACACCAGGCTTTCTTTTGCTTCTATATTGTCTGTGAGAGTTTCTCTCTATCACCTACTTAGTGTCATTTATTCAGTGACTATTTTCCTAGTTGACTTCATGGTAACCACTATGCCAGGACAAGGATAGGATAAGTGTGAGGTAAGAAGCTCCACCTGACTCCCAGCCCTCTGGGCCTCATACTCTTGGGGAAAGAGCTTATGTGAGACAAAACTATTTGAGATGTTGATGTGTAAAATGGGTTTAAGTGTCTCCCAAAACCTACTGAGCTTTGAAATGAGACTTTATGTGGAAATTGGGCCGTTTGCAGAAGTAAACAGTCAGTCATTCTGGTTGAGAGTGAGTGTTGAATCTGATGTTTGCAAATCTTATTAGAAGAAGAGGAGGGAGATTCAGGGACAAGCACTGGGAAGAAGACCAGTGGCACTGGAAACAGAGGTGGAGAAATGAGCCACAAGCCTACAGAGAATTGTAAGAAGTTTTCCCTGGAGCCCTCAGAGGAAGCAGGGCTCAGGGGAAGCCTTGATAGAGAAGTTAATTCATTGATTCTGGAGGGGTTGGTACCTTCTGATTCATGGAGATACAAGTCTTGTGATAACTGCTACAGCAACCTAGAAAACTGCTAACAATGTGCATTAGATTGAACCTGAAGAAACTGAAGATTTGTCACTGTTTTGACCCTTGTGAACAGCAATTCTGTGGTTCAGCCCTGTATGCTATGAGATCCTAAGGCAAAGACTGTGGTGATCAGAGAAGGATTATCTGAAGAACTACTTGAGGAAATAAAATCCCGAAAACAAGTAGAAGTTCAAGAAAGAAATAGGGCAAGAGATGCCCAGATGAAGGGTCTGGCAGGAATGAGGGTCTGTGCATTCATGGGCATCTAAAAGAGGAGATACAACAAGAACACCCAGTAAACTAAAACTACAGAGGTAGGGAGGAGGGAAATAAGACTTTGAGACCAAATGGAAGGTTTTGATCATTTTTGTTTTATAAGAGTAACAACAAAAAGGTTTTAAGGCAAAAATTGAGATTTCTGTAACCATGGAAAGGAGAAATAGATGATAAGGGGCTAACTTGGGAGTAAAGAACAACTACAAGGCTTGTAAAAGCCCAGTCAGGGAGATTCTAGTGAGGACAGAAAGAGTTGACAGATAGAGGGAGGTTTAGGAAGATCTCAGAATTTTCATTTTGGTGAGATGTTCCAACCAAGACTTTGCTCTTGCATTTCATACTAGACTAGCATAATATACAATCCAGTCCCTGCTGGTTAGACCCTCCTTGGTAACGATCTTAGTCACACACAGTCATTCTGCTTCCTAAAAAGTCTGTAAGAGCACAGGAAATAATACCTTGACTTATTTTTATTTCTTTCTTCACTATTCTTGCCTTGTGATCCCAAGCACTCTGGTCATATCTCTTCCATGGTAACCATTATCTTTTATGGATAATTGTTTATTTAACTATCTGGGTTATGATGAGGGCAGGGGTGAGGAAAAATGCATACAGCCTTTTATTTTTGTAGCCCCCGTATTTTTTCACTGAATCTGACTCATGGGATTGGTTCTAGAAGTGACAGCACAGGAATCTAAACAAATGAGTCAGCAAACTCAATGGAGCAGGCGCCTCTCTGTGCCGTCAATCTTATCAGTCTTTGACATGCTATCACTGACTGTCTTGCTGTCTGGCTGCCTTAATAAGTCAGCCGCTTTTTCTTTCTCTGTGGACCCAAATTCCCAATGGCAGATATTTCCGCAATTGTACATCAGTGACCAGTTAGAAATCAGTGACTTTTTCTTAAGCCTTCACTCATGTTCAGAGTCATTTTTCTGATTAGTCTCATGACATAGAGATGTCTGTGCTTTTTGTTTTGTGGCCCTGGGTACTATGGCTTTGCCATCTTCATCATCATCATCATCAAAAAAACATCATATTATATACATGTCCTCTGAGTACATTGCCGTACCGAGGGACAACAAACAGCAATAGCGTCTGCCACCTGAATTGAGGTTTAGTCTCCAAATGCAGCATTTCTGCTCCTCCAGAATGATTTTCATTTCTATGTGTGAGTAAGAGGTACCTTGTCTGTCCCCTCTGTTTACCAAAACTGTCTTGACTTTTACTGCTAATGTCCACAGTCCCAATAAAAAACCTTGTCATTTTAAAGTAAAAGGACTTTTCACAAGGGGGCCATAGCAAATGGCTTTTGATGGCCTGTTAGCCCATTTGTGAATTAGTAGGACCAATCTTGGAAAGGGATAGAAATCAGAGAAGGTATATGAAGATTAGCTGCAATCCGCCTCTTAAGAGGCAAAGAGAAGTGAGGAGAATCCACAAGAAAAACTAGCATTGGAAAGATGGGGGAAAGGTCAAGAAAGCATGGACTGAATTGTAGCCAAAAACTTGTTTGTAATCCACACAAATTTTTACTGTGAGTCCATGCTACTTCTACCATGTCTGTGTATACAATTAATTTGAATATTTAATCATAAGTAAAAGGCAAAAGATAATGTGTGGGATGAAAGGAGATTTATCTTTGGGAGCACAGTAACAAAGCCTTCCTCCAGATTTTTTTTTTAAAAAAACTGGTTTAATTTGCTGTTAACGTTTGTCCTTTCCCTGCAGCAGAGAGCAATCTGAGATCCTGTTGTGTGATGTGTTGTGGGCCTTTTCTGCCATCTACCGGATTAATATGCAATTGCATGTTATTCTCTGACGCCTAAATATTCATTCCTCTTTTCTTCCTCTCTCCCCCGGCCCCCCCTTCAGCTAAAGCAAAGCGAAGCAAATGCAGACACCAAAGAAAAACTCCCTTTGCGCCTGAGAATCTTTGAAAAATTCCCAAACAGACCGCAAATGGTGAAAATCTCAAAACTTCCTTCAGATTTTACTGTTCCTAAGATCAGGTATCGAATTGATTCTTTGATTTCGTTATCTTCACTACAGGGCTCACCATCGTAAACCTACCTCAGCCCTTCTTTCAGGCTGGGTTTGGGGTTGTGCTTGAATTTGTTGTCTCCTGCTCTCCCCGCTGCCTTTGTCATAGGAAGCCTGAGTCCCAAGCAACCTCTTAAGAGGAGAGGCAGGTGGGGCACGAGCTTCTGTCCCCGCCTCCCTCAAGGGACTCCTCGGCGGCGATTACACCTCCCAGGTATAGACAGAATGGACGTTGCTCAGAGCGTGAAGGAGGGTGGACTGGGGTTCAAGCACTGCCTGCATCTGGCACGCAGCTCTGAGTGGTGTCTGTATGACATCCGCCTTTGTGTATGTGGCAGTCTTGTCACAGTGTAGTCTGCCTCCTACTGGTTAGAAGAAGCATGGCGTTTGTACCCACACTGATTCAGTCTGTGCCAGCTTCACCTTCCTACTAGACAAACACGTACCGAAGTTGCTTCGAACTGCCTGCTTTTAATAATTAAAGGCTAGTCTTCCGATGGGTAACTCCAAAATCTCCAATACAATCAGAATCATTAAAATTTTTCTATTTATTTATTTTTAGTTGTCTTTGTGAGGGATTATGAAAGTAGAGCCAAACACTGTAAATTCAAATCGATAAAGAACGTCCAGTCACATGATGACTGACATAGGTCCTGAGCGATAACTCTTTATCCGTTTTCACCCTTCTGTCAACATCAAAAGACATACTGATGCAAATCTGGGTGGTTATTACACCACTGCGGGTTTAATACAGTCTTAAGGGTCTGTTGGCATGAGGTCTGTTGGTGACCCAAGTGTCTCTATGTAGTTCATGCATATTTGTACTTCTAATCTTTTTTAAAGTTAACTGACTTTGCTTATTTGCATTGATGTTATTTAATTTTTTTCCAGCATATTTTGGAGATCAGATGAAGTCTTTTTCCTTTTGAGTCTTTAAATGTAAAATTATCTCTCAAGGACTTTATAATGAATAGAAGTTTGGAAAGATGAAGACTTTCAAGTCTTATCGGAAAGATAAAGTATCTCATTACCATACTAGGATTCAAATCACACCCTTGGATTTGATACCCTTGCTTTTAAGCTATTTCAGGGACATTATGCTTTTAAACAAGAGTTTGCAAGGATTCAGGAAGCTTTCTCTAAGTTAAATATTTTGATAATTAAATCTAACCACCTCCCTTGTTATGACACTTTATTTTTTTGTGATCTTCTACACTGCTTCATGGTCTCTATGAAATGCCACCTCTGGCTCCATTTCCTGAATAACGCCTGGTGTGTGTACTTCCTTTACAAAGGGAAAGCTTCATGAAGCAGTTCATTGACCGCCAACAACAGGACACCTGCTGTCTCTTCAGAATCCTCCCTTCCACATCTTCCTCGTCATGTGATAACCCCAAGCGGCCCACGGTCGAAGACAACAAATACATTGATCAAAAAGTAAGAGCCACTGTCTCCATTGCCAAACATCTCTAAAGCATGCATTAGAGAAAAACACGGGTCAATTATTTAGGGTGCTGTGTTCCTGTGTCTCAAGATAATAAAAAGAAGAGAAAGGTTTTATTTGCAAATAATAATAGATATTTAGGAAGATGGAGTTTCTTTCCCACCTGGTCCGGCTGCCAATTAGCCCCAAATAAACACACTGAAACATATTAATTGTTAAATTGTCTGGCTGATGACTTAGGCTTCTTATTGGCTAGCTCTCTCTTAATTATTAACCATTTCTATTACTATGTATTGCCACAAGGCTGTGACTTATCCATAGTCTGGCATGTTTCTCTTTCAGCAGCATGACATTTCTTGACTGCCTCTCTCTGCTTCTCTCTCCCCAGCCTTCTTCTTATCTGGTAGCCATGCCTGGCTACTGGACAATCAGTGTTTTATTCATCAACCAATAAGAGAAACATATGTACAGAAGAACATCCCACATCATATTTGGGTATATGTGCATACACATATATACTGTTTGTGATGCAATTCATACTTCCATTATATTTAGAAGTAGAATGCCAGAGTTCTCTCATGCTCGGGCTCCCCTGTTCATCCTCTATCCTACAGAGCTGAATATACTGTGTCTTCTGGCTTAGTCATCTTGCTCTAGCCTAGGTTATAACAGTGACTGCTGCCTTTGCAGTATGTCTCTTCTTTTTAAAGAATTTTTACTCATTTACTTTCTCTTCATCATCTACAGATCACATTCCTCATTCTTATGGGACCCAGGATTGTAGAGAATACTCTGGTGCCAATATCTTCTTTTTCATTTATTTTTTTTGTCAGAAAATAATTAGGTTTGTTCAGGCTGGTTGGATTTTATTATCTCTGGAGAAGCCTTGAGATGTTATCTATATTCTTGGGGTTCAGAAACTCTGCCAGTATGTACCTTCTCTGTTGTTTCTCACCAGAATTGCCCAAACTGGGGAAGGGACTGTTTGCAGAACAAGATACTTGCACAGGGATATTTCAACCTATGACATGCTCAAGGATGATATATTCATTTTAGGGCTGCTTTTTTCTCCCTCTCAATTCTTGTCTTTACTTTTGTCTTGTGCATTAATGTTTTCCTCCTCCCACCCCAATTTTTTTCTTCCTGGTCACAAATTTGACTTTAGGTGATACCATTCATGGCTTCCACTTTTGTAATGAAAAGTCATGCCATGTGTATGGTACTTTTGACCTCTTTTGGTTTGTTCTTGGCTGTGTTTGTTCCAACTAAGAGCTTGTGGTGTCTACTTACCAGTCACTACCATAAACAGGTAAAGAGCCAAATGGACAAAGGAAAGGCATGTGGAGAGAAGGCACCATGGTCCAGGCCAGTCTGAAGTCTCATTTTGCATGTTGGAAAGCAGACTGGCATTGCCATGCCAACATAATGAGATTTGTCTCATTATATTTACAAATTTGGCCATAAACCAGCAGTGAAGCAGCTAACTCTATACCCTGCCTGCTGTGGTTGTATCACCTGCCTCCAGGAGAAAGAACAAAAAGCTGAGGTTCCCAAAGTGCACAGTGTGGCAAAACCAGAACACACTTTCTAATCATTAGGAACAATGTCACACAGAAAACTGAAAATCAACCCCTTCCTTAAAAGAGAACGTGAATTTCTCACAACTCCTGGTAGAATATCGATCACTTCATGAGGAAAGGACTAAGAAAATGCTTAGCAGGTGTGGGGTGGGTAGGGGAGAGCTTGGCTGAGGCGAGTCTCCATGCACCCAAGCCTTTCCACCATGTACTATTTAGTTTAGCACTGAAAATGCTACTTCTCATTTTCTGTATGCCCTTTTTTTGGATGTGACTTCTTTTTAGCTTAGCAGACACATTGCACCTCAGGTGCCATCCATGTTGCTTAGCTTAGGGAAGCTGTAAGATTTTGAAGGTGATAATCAGTCCCCAGCCTCTGGAGCTGATTAAAGCCCATCCTGTTTGTTAAACAAAGCCAGTCATAGATAACGGTGTGTTTCTCTACATCTTGTCTCAGCCTGATGGACCTTATGCCATTGAAATGTAGGTGAGGGGGGTGCTGTTCTTCTCCCATGGCATTTATTCTAATCTGGGCAAAAATACTCAGATTTGGAAGTAAAATGTAAGTCTGCCTCCAGGTCTCATCACCTGATCCTGGTGAGAGAGAGCTACCTATAGTGCCATGTGTCTGAGTTTGCTTTCTGTTGCTGTGACTACCGAAAACAATATGGGAAGTAAGGGACTTATTTCATCTTCTAGGTTACAATCCATCATAGAGATAAGTCATGCAAGAACTAGAGGCAGGAGCTTGAAGCAGAAACCAGTGAAGAACACTGCTTACTGCCTTACTCCCTCTGGATAGCTTTCTTACATTATGCAGGTCCACCTGCCCAAGGATGGCACTACCCACAGTGGACTGGACCCTCCTACATCAGTTAGTAATCAATAAAATAACACACAGATGCTCACAGGCCAATTTGATGGGAGCAACTCCTCAACTGAAGTTCCTGCTTCCCAGGGATGTTTAGATTTGTGTCAAGTTGCCAAAAACTAATCCAGATACCATGCAACCAACCTTCAACCTTTGGCTCTATTTCAGTGATAGAAAATTAGATTTCTTCCTTTCTAAAAAAAATTGTTTGCAGCAACAGCTTCCACCTGTTTCTCGAGCTGTTTATAAATTCTTAAGATTTCTCATCTCTGTTTGAGAGTCTTTGTCCAGGGCAATATGAGACAGAAACTCCAGTGTGAGTTAGTATCCATGGTGAGGACTTCCAGTGTAGTAGAAAAACTAAAAGACTCAGAGAGTAATATTGGGGTTCAAGCTTCAAACTGAATATCAGAAAAAGAAAAGCAGCCGGCCACTAACTCTTAGCTCCACCTCAGCTCAGACCAAAGGGGTGATCCTCAGACTGCTCCAGACTTTCACTGCTCCTCAGATTCACTCAGACTGCTGTGCTGTCCCTCAGTGTGGCTAGAGACAATTCCTAGGCTGAATGCAAGCTCTGAGATCCTGCTCCTGTTTTACATACCTCCCTAATGCGGGGATTAAAGGTGTGTGATCCCAGGTGCTGAGATCACCTTTGTGTGAGCTGTTTCTTTTAGGACTGAATCAATTTTGTGTAATCAGTGTGTCCTTGAACTAACAGAGGTCTGTCTGCCTCTTAATCCTGAGTCCTGGGATTAAAGGTGTGTATCACCACTGCCTGATCTCTATAGCTTAAAACTTGCTTTGTTTTCTGAATCCTCAGATAAGCTTTAATAAATCATAAATAATGTATCATCACATTCCAGGAAGCAAAAGTGGAAGGAAAAAATGGTCCAGCATTGATATTTTAATTATACAAGTATCTACTCATGTTTCTTCATATTATTGATATCTAGGGCTTCTTATACAGAGTGCTTCCTAATAACGCCAGATGTGAACTTGACATCCTAGCAACCCAGTGATACAACCAGTTCACTCAGCCTGCAGCAATGAACTCTTCAATCCAAATTCTTGATCACTGCTCTGCAGTCTTTGTCACCTTGATGTTTCTGCCTTACCCCTAGCCAGCATGCTACTTGCTGGATCAAAACCTGCCTATGATCTAGAATCATAAGTGAGCGTTGCAGAACCTCAAAAGCTGGAACCCAAGTACAAAAATGGGAGTAAAATGATAAACATTAATTTTAATGTATTGTTAATCCTTTCCATTTCCATAAGTCTTCCACATTCATTCAGTAATTCTACAAAAATGTGTGGAGCTCCACTATTTGCTTATCTACCATTCCTCTGGATGAGGAAAGTCAAAAGAAATCAAGATATGTACTTCAGAAGATGATGACACTACGAAGAATCATAAGCAAACAGGTTAAAGTAAAAGCTATTATGGGAACAGGAGCTAGAGAGATGGCTAGAGTACTTGTTTCTCTTTTAGAGGACCCCAGTTCAGTTCCCAGTACTGACACAGTAGCTCGAACTATCTGGAATTCCTGATTCGATGCCTTCCTTTGACCTTTGTAAGACCCAGGTATGCACTAGATGGGATCTCCTGAGTCCTCCTTCCAGCACAGTTGAAAAGTATCGAAAGGGGCTTCTGGCAAATAGGGCCCTACAGAAGGCGACGCCCCATTGTCTACCCTGTGTCTTACATTCTCATGGAGTAAATTAAAGGCTTCTAGGAGATTTTTCTCTTCACAAAGCTTTGTTGATTGCCATGCAGCATTTCAGGAATTTTCTGTATGATTACAGACTGTCATATGGTTTGTTCTAGTAACTCTGCATGTAGCAAGTTACTCAACCTGATCTATAATTTCCAGAGTGAGCATTTATGCACTCAAAAAATAAATAAATAAATAAAGGCAGAGGGGGTGGGGGAACAAACTGCTTTGGTCTTTAGGGGTGTTGATTTTCTTAAATAATTCTCCCAAGTAATATTTTAGAGGCAGCTCTAAAAATCTATTTAAAGATGTGGGTGGGAGAGATAACAGGATGCTAACAAACAGCCATGTGTTGTATCTCAAGGATACCAGGCAGGGTGGTCCAGGAGGGATAGCCAGGGCTGGTGTTCACAACACCAAATACAAAAATCACACGCAGGTATCTCTCTGATAACTTAAAACTGCCTTTGTAGGTAACAAACTGACTGCTTAGTCATAATAATGAAAAGAAAACAAAAAGGTATACAATATAAAAATGCAAAGCATAGTTTCTCACTTTTATTAATCTTTTAACTTGTTGGCCTCAAAGTAAGAGGTGCTGTGTTTGGATGCACATTCTTCTATTCAATAGCTCTGTTTTGAGGACCATTACACATCCAGAATGTTCTGGAGGCAGTGGGAAAGTTGTTTACTGTCTTCAACTAGTAAGAGAGGAAATTCCTAACAAATATTCTTCAAAACTGCATTTTTTACACATGAAGATTGTATGCAGTATGTTTATGTTTCTTGGATGTATATTCATGGAGGTGCAAAAAAGAGCTATAGACAGTTGT